TACTAATACCAAGAGATCCTCCTTTAAAGTCTGGGGTTAATACCAGTGGCACCACAAGGGATATGTTGAGGGCTGGGCAATGTCACCCCAAGTAGACATACAATTATCAATGCCCTTCAGCTAAGACCTAAAGTTGAATTAATTAGTTGTATTTGTTGCTCTTTGCAGTGAGGGAGAACTCTCTCTCTTTATGTCTCCTCTTTGTTTAGATTTCCTTACACCTTGAGGGTGTTGCAGTGAGTGGGCCTTAGGAGGGGCTTGTTGTAGGATTCAGATTTGTATCATCAAATGATTCTGAGGAAGAGTCAAGGAAGTGAGGCTTCACTCTGGATAGGGTGCTCTCAGAAAGTGTGGATAATTTTTGATTATCCACATTAGCTTGGGGTGCCATAAAAATACTCCAGATTGGGGGGCTTAATCAAAAGAAATATATTTCCTCATAGTTCTGGAGGTTAGAAGTCTGAGATTAGAGTGTTGGCAGCCTTTCTTTCTCCTAGGCTTCTATTTTTTGGCTTAGAGGTGGCTGTCTTCTTACTGTGTCCATGTATCCCTGGTGTTTGTGTCCAAACTTCCTTTTCCTCTAAGGACACCAGTCAGATTTGATTATAGCTCATCCTAATGGCCTCACTTTAACTGAGTCACCTTTTTAAAGACCTATTGCTAAAAATAGTCACATCTAACTATAATCACATTTTGAGGTCCTACCACATTTTGAGGTAGTTAGGGTTTCAACAAATAAATTTGGGGGGCGTGGGGCATACACAGCCAAATGTGGTTTTATCTATCCATAATCCCAGCTACTCAGGAGACTGGAGAAGAAGGATGGCAAGTTTGAGGCTACCCTAGCAACTTAGCAAGTCCCTGGCTCAAAATAATAAATAAAAAGGACTGGGGATGTAAGCTCAGTGGCTTGTCCAGCATACCTGAGGCTCTGGGTTAGATTCTCAGCACTACCAGCCAAAAAAAAAAAAAAAGAGAGGTGAGTCATAATTTGTTGGGGACTGCCCTGAGCAGGAGCTGAACTCACCCCCTTTGCCTTGCGTAATGGGGGTGTGGAACAAGCATTGCTTGCAGTGTGAAGCAAGTGGGTCTTACCTTCGCTGGGCAAGGAAGTGCCTCTTTGGGATTGGGCATCACCCAATGGGACTGGACTACACCCCCTCGTTTGTTGTAACATACCCCTTGCCTTATTTGGGTGTAATATTCTATCAAATGTCTTTCCCCTAACAAAAACAGGGTTTCAGGTCGTTTTCTCTCTTGCCTCTTGTCTCCCTCGCTCCTCTTGCCCTCCCAGTGTGGTAGCTGACACCTGAGGTCTCAGAGCTGTCACTGACCCCCAAAAAAGGTATTTTGTGTTTGTATGGTCTTTTTGTTGCCAGCCCAATTCACTCAGTGTGATCCTGAATCCGTCACCTGCTGAGACGTGCGTGGGCGACAATAATTCATTCTCAGATGACATGTTAATATATCTCAATATGGCTGGAGAAATGAAAGGAGGCTGAAGTTAGAATTGGTAAAGAAAAAACAACCACTTATTAGATAGGATATGGAGAATCTCAGATCTTTTTTGTGATTTGAGCAATGTACATGTTGTATGTATTTAGTTGTGATTATGGATGTTTTTGTCTTCACTCATCATGGTTAAAGAATAGAAATGTCTGATATTGATGTTCTATGAATTTGTTTATGTCCATCAGGAGAACACCAGACCTAACTGTGGGTGTCAGGCCAGCTTGTAGCCATACCAAAGCCTGACAGAGCCAGCCCAGCTCCCAGATGTCAGAGGATGTTTTCTATTCCTCACTGTCTGGTGCAAACAGTATGCTTGCTAAGCAATCACCAGTTTGGGATAATTGACACTCTTTCCCATCTAAAAATTGTGATGCCAATATTGTGTGACTGAAGGACTGTAGCAATATGCTAGTTCCATCTAGGAACATAGGGAGCTTGTATATCTGGCAATGGAGGAAGTAGATATTTCTATAATACTACTATTTTAGGGCTTTGGCTGCTCACCTGGAGGATACCCCTGCTGGTGGAGGGAGCACTATACTGGAGCTCCCAGAAATGTGCTTGATGCCCTCTTCTCCTGGTGTATTATTGTAAATTATGGTATAATAAATTACCATTAACTTCAATGGCTTAAAACAGCACATATTGTTTTAGACTCTTTGGATCAGGAGCTTAACTGAGTCCCCTGCTTACAGCTTGCCCACCACATCTGGCTGTCCTGACCACCTGGAGAAATCTATAGAATGTATTACATGATTCAAGAAAAGGATGGCAGCAGGTCAGCCAGGCCTGGCAGGGAAAGGCACAGAGGTGATGTAATGCCACCTCTGCAGGCCCTGAGGCCTTTATTTTTGAGGCTAATTCTGATTTTTCAGGAAAGAGCAAAAAGGCATTTGCTATTTTCTCAGGCAATTGCTATTAAGAAATGAGTCCCATAGGTTTATCCAAATTTATGAAGTCATTAGTAGGGGCACAAAGGAAGAAGTGAAGAGTAGAAGTACCCAAGAAGGGATTCCAGGGTATCAACTATTCCTAAAGGATAAAGGGAAAGGAGCAAGAAAAGGTTCAGAAGCATGTAGGCAGGCCCCTGGCAGAGGCCTTGAACTACTCAGAGGTTTGAACTAGTAACAAGGCTCAATTCAGGGAGTTAAACTCAATGTGAATACTCTGGATAGGCAGAGAGGATGCCATAAGCATATTCAGGATCTGTCTCCTGACGAGGAAGGCCTTTAACCCAGAAGTCTTCAGAAGGCAGGTGAGGACCAGGCCACGTAATCCTTCCTGTCACCAGATCTAGATTAGTACTGTGGATAGTAGATTTAGGAATGTTTGTGGAGGATATATATATATTAGATGATTTCACTGACTGACCCCCCAAGGGTCTTATTGAATAAACCTACTTCATGATGGATTGGCTAAGACAAGAAACTCACTGAAAAAAAATGTCAGAACCAAAGTAACCTTTGTACTAGACATGTCAAACTCAGTATCTCACCATACATTGACCTTAAAAAAGTCCTACTAAATTTAAAATAATTGGATTGTATAGAATATGTTCTCTGATTACACTGGAATTGGAGTAGGAATATATAACAATAAGATACCTAGAAAAGCTCCCTAATTTGGAAAAATTAAACAACATACTTCTAAACAATCTACCATCAAAGAAAAAAAAAAACACCAGGGAAATAAGATAATGAATGCAATGAAAATATAACTTTTCAAAATTTGTGTGATACAGCTAAAGCAGTTCTTTTTTTTTTTAATTTTTTTTTTATTGGTTGTTAAAAACATTATAAGGCTCTTGACATATCATATTTCATACATTAGATTCAAGTTGGTTATGAACTCCCAATTTTACCCCAAATACAGATTGCAGTTACACATCCACATTTTTACATAATGCCCTATTAGTAACTGTTGTATTCTGCTACCTTTCCTATCCTCTACCATCCCCCCTCCCTCCCCTCCCATCTTCTCTCTCTACCCCATGCTAAAGCAGTTCTTAAGGAGAAACTTATAGCTTTAATGTTTGTATTAGAAAAGAAGACAGGGGTCCACCTTAAGAAGCAAGAAGATCAAAGTAAATACTGGGCTGGGGATGTGGCTCAAGTGGTAGCAGGCTCTCCTGGCATGCAGTGCTGTGCCCAGGTTCGATCCTCAGCACCACGAACAAAGACGTTGTGTCCGCCGAAAACTAAAAATAAATTTTAAAAAAATTTCTCTCTCTTAAAAAAAAAAAAAAAAGTAAATGCAAATCACAGGTAAGAGCAGAAATACAGTAAAAGAAAATTAACAAATTAAGTCATATTTTGTGATCCATTTTACTTCCAGCTTCGCTCTAGCCACACTAACTGGCGGATAATTCATATGGATTCAGGAAAGAGTGTGAAATAATAGGTAATTACTTCCTTTTGAGTTCATGATTCCACCCCCCCCCCCCCCCCCCCCCCGCTCCCTACACTGGAGGAGAAGGTTTTGCCAGTAGGTGGCAGCGCTGGCACCCGAAAACTGGAAAGGTAGTGTGACTTAACGGCTTAGGGACTGCCCACCGGGGTAGAGGAGTGTCTTTTGAAGACTGGAGTCAACTCCAGAAAGCAAATCGCCACTTGGATTTAGGACAGAAAAAAGCTTTTTCATTAAAACATCAGAACCCTAAACATGAGTGTAATCGAAGCTTGAAAAACAGCTCTATAAAGCTGGAGGAATCCTGCCAAACGGAGTCAACGCGTTTCAGATCTCCCCTGCCCGCTTCCCCGATTGTATACAAATCTAAGCTGCTTTCCCCCCCCTCCCCTTTTTGCTGGGAGGTTACGACGGTTTCTATCCAATTCTTAAAATGGACAGTGACTTAAAACAATTAAGAATCACTGTAACAAATGCTCCACTTAACGCCCATTCAGAAGTTAATCATTTATAAGTCTGGCTATAAAGGAAGATAGTAAAGTCCCCTTAGGCACAAGCGGGGCTCAAACAAATGCTTTTATACTATTTTTTTTTTCCTTGAAGACCAACGCTTTGAAAAATCCCGGCACGGGGGTTGAAGGGGGAAAAGAACGACTTTTCGCTGACCTACCCTGTGCTCCGCGGAACCATGTAGTTTTCATGAATGTCCTCATTTAATCTTTGCAGGAGGGTTCTGAGTTCGTGTTAACATCCTTAATATTATTCCCACAAATCCCTTAAGAATGACCGGCTTTTGCGGTCCGTGTGGATACCCACACGTTCCATTCCCCTTTCTTTTACAAACAAAACTTCCACGCAGTTTCTTTTTGTTTAACTGGACTTTCCTTTATATAAATAACTTTTCGTTTATTTATTTGGTATGTGTCTTTCAATCATGGGAGTCCCTCAAAATACAGAGGAAGGGGCAGAGACTCATAAGACTTTAGGTTGGATTTAGGACAGTGCTGGAACTTCTTTTTCCTTCTAGCTAGCTTAAAGGAGGACGGCGGCCCTGAACGGGTCCCCCGGGCCAAAACGGCTAGATGGGGGTGTTTGGGCCCACGTGGCCACTCACGTGGTCGCTTGAGCTCTTCCAGAAGGTGGCCGCGCAAACTGCAGAGCAGCAGGCGAGAGGCACCGAGCAGCAGGCAACCCCTCCCGGCCTGCCAGCTTGGCGTATATAGCTGGAGCCCACTGAGTCCACAACCCCCCGGCTACCGCCATTTCGTGTGTTCCTTCCGCGTTCAGAGTCGCGAAGCAGCTGTGAGGAGGATGGTTCCGGCTGCCAACCCTCTTCTGCCTGCCCCCAGGCTCCGGGAGCCCACCTCCTCCAACTGGGAGTTCAAGCCCCAAGGAGAGCGTCCACACCGGGCGAGAAGGAAGGCCTCTCCTTGCTTCCCCGAGATGGTTTCCCTCCAAACCCTGAGAAGCACCGTGCATTCACTCGGACCGGGAACCAACTCTCAGGTCTGGGCTTCCACCTCGCACCACAGGGTTTACTCCTTCACCTGTCTTTTATGGCGCTCGGGTACCCTTTCCAGCGGCGACAGTCCTTATGGGACAGAGCCTGGCTAACGCTTGGGCACCTCTACTTTGAAAGTTTGTTCTTAACTGAGTCACCTGCTTTTGTAGAAGAATATAAAAGCACCCCACAGCTGCTTGATTCAACCTCCGTGTGATCCAATGCCAGGATTAGAAAGGACTTTGTTTTGTAAGGGTCCTGTGAAACGTTGGAGAAAGAGACTACCAAGTGACCACTCATGCAATTGGCAAAAGGGGATTTATTGAACCAGCATGCTGGGGCTCTGTGCCCACTCAAGAAGGGAAAGCAGCCCAGAGCCCTGAGCAGGGGCTGAGCACTGCTTAAGTACACTTTTTGGGGAGGGCGGAGGGCTTTGTATACATCAGAACAAATCATCATTAGGTGCCGGAAAATTGAACAACAACTCCTAAACATGATTGGTTCATTCATTGGCAGGAACAGGTCAAGCTGGAGTGATAGGTCATTCCTAAGGAGGGGGTTACATTTAAACTGATTGGTCCAGGCCCTGCAATGCCTGCGTGCAACCACACAGACCCCTTCAGTTATTAAACAACCAGACAATCAGGGGAAATGTTTACTGGGCGGTTCTAAGCATTGTCTTAACAGCTACAGAAATTTAACTCAGACCTTGCAGCTTAGAAACTTTTACAACACCCAGTCTTTTACCCTTTAATTTTTACGCTTTAACTTCAATTTCTTTTACCCTTACAGTTTTACCGCCCTGGGAAACTGTGTCTCGGTGCCCCAAGACACAGAGTTTATTCACAGAGTGACCACTATCTGACAGCCTTGGGTGGTCACTCAAGTGGTCACTCCCCCATAAGGAACTTCTTTTGATATTCGTGTCAGCATTTTGTGAGTGAGGGAATTCAATGGGAAGACACCTGGGGAACCTGCTCAAGTCGGCCCAGTGTTGTGGAAGTCAGGCTGCTCTTGCGTCTCCAGTCTGGACCTCTTCTGAGATGAAGGTTTTCCTATTTTGATCAGTTATTTTATTTTTTTAAACACTTGAAGTTTTCTGAGGTCCTCAAGTCCGCAGAACGCAGTGGAAGTTGAATTAGTGGGTTTTATTATTGTGCGTTCCTGTCACTGGAGAAAGTGATACCTGGCTAGCCATTTCCGGTGGTCTGTGTGCCCCCAGATGACAGGTGCCAGAGTTCAGGTGTTGGCTCTCCTTCCTTGACACCTACGCAGATCCCGGGCTGCCCCCACCTCTGGACATCAGTAATTTAATTCATTGTGCTAACCACAGCAAATGAGAAGGTGACCTAATTGACTAGTTTCTGGCTTCTGGGCCTGGCCCTGATGTCCCACTGTGTTTTATCTCTCTCTCTCTCTCCCCCCCCCCCCCCGCCCTCCATCCCTCTCTCTTTTTTTCATTTTATTGATTTTAATTTTTTAAATACAGGACGGCAGAATGCATTACAATTATTACACATACAGAGTACAATTTTCATATCTTTGTATATAGAGTATGTTCACGCCAATTCATGCCTTTATACATGTGCTTTTTTTGCATTACAATTCTTATTATACATATATACCACAATTTTCATATCTCTGTTTATATATAAAGTGTGTTGACATCCAATTCGAGTCTTCATACATGTACTTTGGATAATGATGTCCATCACATTCCACCGCCCTTGCTAATCCCCTGCCCCGTCCCTTTCCCTCCCACCCTTCTTCCCTATCTAGAATTCATCTAATTCTCCCATGCTCCCCTGTTGAGAGCCACAGCAGGGTCAGAATGACACCTGGCATATTGCCAGAGGGAATGGTTGAAAGGCAACACCAGCGAACCATTGAGATGATGATTTGAGTTAAGCTGTATATAATTGCTGTGATGCTGGATTGATTGAGTTGTATATGGACCCTGCTCCGGGAATAGGGCAGCTCTGGGAATCTGCCTTGGGCGCCGGGGGTTCTCACGGGGTTCGGGGAGATTGGGCACCTGGAGCCGGGTGGAGTGTGTGTGTTCCCGGGAAGCGCACGTGTAGTGCCTGTGTGAGTTGGAAAATAAAGTTGTTGCTGTTTGAACCTACAAGGCTTTGTGGCGGCTCGGTTATTTGTGCCCAGCCAGACTGCGGCACTTCCCCTCCCTACCCCACTATGAGTCAGCCTCCTTATATGAGAGAAAACATTCAGCATTTGTTTTTTTGGGGATTGACTAACTTCACTTAGCATTATCTTCTCCAAAGCCATCCATTTACCTACAAATGCCATGATTTTATTCTCTTTTATTACTGAGTAAAATTCCATTGTGTTTATATGCCACATTTTTGTTTTATCCATTCATCCACTGAAGGGCATCTAGGTTGGCTCCACAGTTTAGCTATTGTGAATTGTGCTGCTATAAATATTGATGTGGCTGTGTCCCTGTAGTCTACTGTTTTTAAGTCCTTTGGGTATAGTCTGAGGAGAGGGATAGCTGGGTCAAATGGTGGTTCCATTCCTAGATTTCCAAGGAATCTCCATACTGCTTTCCATAATGGCTGTACCAATTTGCAGTTCCACCAGCAATGTATGAGTGTACCTTTTCCCCCACATCCTTGCCAACACTTGTTGTTTGTCTTCATAATAGCTGTCATTCTGACTGGAGTGAGATGATATCTTAGAGTAGTTTTGATTTGCATTTCTCTAATTGCTAGAGATGATGAACATTTTTTTCATATATTTGTTGATTGACTGTATATCCTCTTCTGAGAAGAGTCTGTTCAGGTCCCTGGCTCATTTATCGATTAGGTTATTTACTTTTTTGGTGCTTAGCTTTTTGAGTTCTTTATATACCCTAGAGATTAGTACTCTATCTGATGTGTGAGGGGTAAAAATTTGCTCCCAGGATGTGGATTGATTCTTTTGCTGAGAAGAAATTTTTTTTTATTCTATCCCATTTATTGATTCTTGGTTTTTAATTCTTGCACTATAGGAGTCTTATTAAGGAAGTTGGGGCCTAATCCCACATGATGAAGATTAGGGCCTACTTTTTCTTCTATTAGACACAGAGTGTCTGGTTTAATTCCTAGGTCTTTGATCCATTTTGAGTTAAGTTTTGTGCATGGTGAGAGATAGGGGTTTAATTTCATTTTGTTGCATATGGGTTTCCAGTTTTCCCAGCACCATTTGTGTTTTCTAAGGTGCAGTGGGGCAGTGGACACCTTGAGGCTTGCCGTTGCCTTTGCCTAAGGGGTGTCCTAGAGGAGACGGAAATTCGCACCAGGCATAGTTTCAAATTCTATGAAATGTGGCTGCTGCATGCTTGTTTCACAGAGCTGGAGTCCACCTCTTGATATGAAGGCATAATATCTTTCACTTCCGCCAAATCTGATATCAGTCTGCAATTATATTATGATGTGAGGCTCTTGATAAGGTCTGTTTCATTTTTCTTTTGAATTTATCAAGAAGTTTTTATTCCATCGGTTAACCACTTTTTTTTTTTTTTTTTTTGGACCCAGGACTAAAAAAACAAACAACGGAAGTATTGAGGATCTCAAAGAGGTTTTATTTATGTGGGTTAAAGGAGATATTAAACATAAGAATATGGAAGTGCCCTATTCCATTAACCATCCAGCAGGGTGATGTCTTTACACTCATGCAGCATCTGGACAATTCTACCATAAGCTTGTGAGAGAATGAGGGTCAAAGAGGAAGGTATTTTAATATTATGTAAAACTTTTGACTTTTCAGTCTCCTGGAACAGTTTTTGGGGACACTCACAGTTCCCTCAAATTCCCTTTGAGAATTCCTATTCTATTCTGTGAATGAACTCTCTTGTCTCTTAGAAGTTTAGAAGGCCAGTCAGTAAGCAGGGCTGTATGCTTGAGCCACATGCTGAAGAGGGCATTGAGGGTAGGTTCCTCAATTGTTAGGTTTTTGGAAACTCTGGAATCCAGCCTCCAATCTAACATAGCAGCTGGCCAGGATAGGATTCTGGAACACTGTTGGATTGGAGGACTGGTTTGGATTCTGTCACTGTTTAATTATTAGGTTGTCTGAGTACAAGTCCACCCACAGACTCTGAACACCAGGAAGGCTGTATCTCTTATCAATATTCAAACAGAATACTTGAGTGTTCTTTGCTGATTCTTCCTGATAATTTTGATGCTTGCTTTTTCTTCCCTATGGAAAGTTCTTCCCCCACTTATTCTTGTGCTTGCTCCCTTATGTCTACCTGATCATGGTTCAAATGTCTGTCAATGTAACCCTTCCTGATTACCCTATTAAAGGTGATGTCAGAACCCACTCCCTTTCTATCTTTCCTTGCTTTATTTTTCTCAGTAGTTCTTAAGCACCCTCTAATTAAAACATTTTATTTTTTTTGCTTTCCTCCCACCCACTTCCACTTCACTCCATGTAATCTTCATGTGGGTAGGGATTTTTGTCAGTTTTGTTTTCTTCTGCATCCTCAGTGCCAGAAGTGTGCCTGGCCATAATAGATGCACAATAAATATTTGTTGACAGAAAATGGTGAACTAAAGCTAGTTTACTTGAGCATCAACCTGAGTGGGCTCCTGAAAAGTAATCTTGGAAAAGTGTAGTTATCACAGGTCCCAGGATGCTAAAATGGGACGACACAAAGGGTGTATGTGTATGGTCTTAGGGAGTTGGCTGCACTACAAATGTTATTGTGCTCCTTTGTTCCTTTCATTGCATACAGCTGCCAGGTACTTGTTTAAAATTTGTGTTTCATCTTCCCTGGATTTGTCTTTCTCTTTTGAGGACTATTACAACAAGGTTTAGAAGGGACATGTTCATAGTGTTCAATTTTTCATAACATTAAAATATATGGCTTCTTCTGATAGTACATGGCAGTCATAATTACAAGGAAATGGGATGTAATTTTTTTCTCCCATGGAAACAAACAGTGATACTCCTGAGAATATGAGTCTGAGGAATTAAGAGACTGTAGTCTGTGCTCTGGGCT